CTCTCTCTAAAAATCAATAAAGAAAAAAAAATTTTTTTAATAAATGCCTAGTCACCAATCTCTTCTGGTCTTTTGGCTAAGATCAAGTGTGGGGTCTGTCTGTTTGTGTGTGGGGTGTGTGTGTGTGTGTGTGTGTGTGTGTGTGTGTGTGTTGACTTTAAAGAGAGAGGGAGAGGTAAAAACATCGATGAGAGAGAACATTGATTGGCAGCCTCCTGCATGCCCTGCACTGGGAATTGGGCCCACAACCTGGGCATGTGCCCTGACTGGGTATCGAACCAGTGACCTCTTGGAGCATGGGTCAACACTCAAGCAATGAGCCACACCAGCAGAACATGTTTGTGTGTTTTTAACGTGTATGCCCACCACCCATATTCAAATTGTCCTCTGTCACCATATATTTGGCCAACTTTTCCCTTCACTTACCCCCACTCCAGTATCTGCTCTTATTGGTTTAAAATGCCCAGTCACCTCTGTACACACTGAAGTGGCACAGAGTTCACTCTGGACCCTCCTCCCTACTACAGTTATACATTACTGACTGAAATCTGTCCTTACCACTTTAACTAGTGTCCGACTTTGTTTATCTTTGTGTGTGTGTGTGTGTGTTTATTTTTATTTTATCTTTATTGTTGAATGTATTACAGATGTTCCTCATTTTTCCCCCATTGACCCCCTCCTCCCCACTCCTACCTCCCTCCTGCCTTTTCCCACACGGTTGTCTGTGTCCATTGGTTATGCATATAAGTTCTTTGGTTTATTTCTTCCTACCCCCAACCCCCTTCCCTTTGAGGTTTGTCAGTCTAGCAACCAATTTGTACTTCTTAATCCCTTCACCTTTTTCACCTGTTCCCCCAAGCCCCCTCCCATCTGGCAACCAACAAAATGTTCTCTGTATCTATGAGAATGTTTCTGTTCTGGCTGTTCATTTTGTTGTAGATTCCATTGTCGATAGATATGTATTCATTGCCATTTTGTTGGTTCATATATTTTATCTTTTCCTTCAACATTTCATATAATAACAGTTTGGTGGTGATGAACTCCTTTAACCTTTTCTTGTCTGGTGGGAAACTCTTTATATGGCCATCAATTCTAAATGACAGCTTTGAGGGATAGAGTAATCTTGGTTGTAAGTTCTTGCTTTTCATCACTCTGAATATTTCTTGCCACTTCCTTCTGGCCTGCCAAGTTTCTTTTGAGAAATCAGCTGACAGCCTTACGGGAACTCCCTTGTAGGTAACTAACTGCTTTTCTCTTGCTGCTTTTAATATTCTCTCTTTGTCTTGAACCTTTTGCATTTTGATGATGATGTGTCTTGATGTGGGCCTCTTGGGGTTCATCTTGTTTGGGACTCTCTGTGCTTCCTGGACTTGTATGTCTGGTTCCTTCACCAAGCTAGGGAAGTTTTCTGCCATTATTGTTTCAAATAGGTTTTCAATTTCTTGTTCTGTCTCTTCTCCTTCTGGCACCCCCAAGATGCAAATGTTGGCACGCTTGAAGTTGTCCCAGAAGCTCCTTACACTATCCTAATTTTTTGGGATTTTTTTTCTTTTTGCTGTTCTGATTGGGCATTTTTTGCTTCCTTATATTCCAAATCGATGGTTTGCTTCTTGGATATACGTACTCTACTATTGAATCTGTGTAAATTATTCTTTATTTCAGTTAATGCCTCCTTCATTTCTGACTGTGCATCCATCATTTCTGACTGGTCTTTTTTCATGCTCTTGAGACCCTCACTAAGTTCACTGAGGTTCTCACTAAGTTCACTGAGCATCCTTATAAGCAGTATTTTGAACTCAGCATCTGTTAGGTTGCTTATCTCCATTTCGCTTAGTTCTTTTCATGGGGTTTTGTTCTGTTCTTCCCTTTGGGACCTGTTTCTTTGTATCCTCATTTTGGCTGCCTCCCTGTGTGTGTTTGTTTCTGTGTATTACTTAACGAGAGGTATGGGGCTATCTGAGACCAGATGCTGCTTGTTTGAAAGAATTTAGGAAAACCTGAAACAGGATCCGAGACAGGCCAACCCTATGGTTAAGCAACTGGCAACAGCTTGGGTGGGCCTGCAAGTTGGGTGGGGCGGGGCCTCCGGGAATCACCAGGGCGGGGCTACCAGTGTGAGCCAGGCTGCTGGGGTCCCAGATATGGCAGCTGTCTGCCGCCCCAGGGAAGGCCTCACCAAAGGAACAAAGGCCTCTGACAGCATGTTTGTCCTGGAGAAAGCCCCCTCTCCAGCCCTCACTTCAGTGCCAAACAGCTCAGTTCTTCCCTGTATGTCTCTGGTGCCCCTTGAGCTGCCTCCCCTCCAAGCTTAGGGGGAGCGAGTCTGATAAGTTCGTGCGTGGGCCCTTTATTTCTTTTTTTTTTAATCCTAACCTAAGGACATTTTTTCAATATTTTGTTCAGATAGAGGGAGAGAGAGAGAAACACCGACGTGAAAAGGACACATCGAGTGGCTGCCTCCCGCACATCCCAACCAGAGCCGGGGACAAACTGCAACCAAGGTACATGCCCTCAGCGGGAACCGAACCCGGGTCTCTCTGGACTGCAGGCTGTCACTCTAACCATTGAGTAAAACCATCCAGGGCCATTCGTGAGGGGCTGCCTGGGGCTCCAGCTGCCTCAGTCTCCCTCAGCTTCAGTTCTTGCTGGTTTTTCCAGCCAGAAGTTTTGGGGATTCTCTTCCTGGCACTGGAGCCCTGAGCAGGGCACTGGTATGGGATGGGGACCCCTCAGTCCTCAAGGAGGACCTTCCCAGCTGAGGTGTCTTCCTGATTTTTATTCACCACCGTGGGTGTGGGACTAGCCCGTCTGCCTCTGCCCCTTCTACCAGTCTTGATGTGGCCTCTTCTTTAATTCCATAGTTGTAGGACGTCCATTCAGCTTGATTTCAGGCAGTTTTGAATGATGGTTGTTCTGTACTTCGGTTGTAACTTTGATGTGGGTGTGGGAGGAGGCGATACTGCATTTACCTACTCGCCATCTTGACCACAAGTTGTCCGACTTTGTTTATCTTTGACATCAGCACAGTCACTGAGTCATGGAAGCTTCAGAATTATTTAGGTGGTTAATGTACAAGAGTTAGTTCCCTACTTAGCTAAGTCATACCCCCAGTGCAGTAATCAAGACTGAGCTGCAGCCCTGGCCAGTTTTGCTCAGCAGTTAGAGCGTCGGCCTACAGACCAGTGAGTCCTGGGTTTGATTCCGGTCAAGGGCATGTACCTTGGTTGCAGTTCGTCCCCGGCCCTGGTTGGGGCCGTGTGGGAGGCAACAACTCGACATGTCCCTTTCATGTCGATGTCTCTCTCTCTCTCCCTCTCTTCCCCTCTCCCTCCCACTCTATCTGAATAAAAGTGGAGGAATGTCCATGGGTGAGGATAAAAAAAAGACTGAGTTGCAAGTGACAAGACGCCCAACTCAAACACCTACCCAGAGTAGTCAAAGGTGAGAAGGAATTCATTGATTAACACAACTGAGGAAACTAGAGCTAATATCAGCTTCAGATATAACTGGATGTGGGGGCTCAGACAATGTTAAGACTATCTCTCATACCCCCTTTCAGGGCTGCTTATCTCTGTCTTTATAAGATGGCCTCAGCCTCTCCTGCCAGTCCCTCTCCATAGAGTGTGAAGGCGACTGCCAGTTGCCCTTATACCCTTTTCTTGCTTGAGATCCAAAAGTGTGCCCCTTTTTCTCTCTGCACCTGTACAGCACTCTCATGGAATGATTCTGATTGGTCCCCCAAGTCACATGCCCACCAACTAGGATCAAGTACTGGGGACAATCAGATAGGGAAGTGTTTGGCCTTCTTAGAGTCACATGCCCACAATGACTTCCCACCCCTCTGTGGAGTGAGGGACACAGTTCCTTCAGAATCACCTGGGATGGGGAAGAAAAAGGAATGTTGAGCTGACAAAAATAATAGATATCAGAAAAGGATCAACGGGCCCTGGCAGGATAGCTCAGTTGGTTAGAGCATCCTCCCCATTCGCCAAGGTTGTGGATACATCCTGTCAGGCACATACAAGAATCAACCCATGAAAACATAAATAAGTGGAACAACAAGTTAATGTTTATCTCCCTTTCTCTTTCTCTCTCAAATCAATTTTTTTTTAAAATTAAAAAAAAAGGACACAGGAAGAGCTGGGAGGGGGGCAATCTGATGGAGAAAGAAGGTGGACACTAGTATTAGTCTAGTATTAGTGGGAGGTGTGGGTGGAAAGGCAGAGCTGTATAAGGAAGGCCCTGGGGACACAGCTGAAGAAGTGTGAGCTGTGAATGATGAAGCCTCAGGTCCGGCAAGTCAGTCTGGCAGGGTGTAGGTGTTTGGCTTCGACATTCCTGTGCTAGACGTTGTATTTCCATTATTTAATCCTCCAAACCACTTTAGGAGGGGGATACTATTATATTATCTCTATCAGATAGACAGAAAGCAGAGCTCATATTAAGTAATGTGCCAAAGCTCACACAGATAGGAAGGGGCAGTGCTGGTATTTCTGACGCTGACCCAAGTAGCCTGCACCTGCACCACGCAACTCCTTTGTTCTAATCCCGTTTGTTTATCTGATCATGAACAGCAAGGAGGTAAGAATGTCACCACGGAGCAACCTTGGGCGAGTGCTGCCCCTCTTGAAACCTCAGTCATCACATCTTTGAACCGGGCACAATTCTGCAACCTGACGTCACAACAAACACCTGGATCTTTGAAGCTCCCAGGGAGCCGCACGCTTGTACGAGGCTGTGGGGTTGGGGCGGGATCGAGACTCGCGATCGCTCCCATCCCTCAAGTTACCTGGCTGGTGGAGGTTACCGGCTGCGCGCGCGCCGGCCCCGCCCTCAGCCTCCTCAGGCACCTGTTGGCTCGAGGACCTACTCGGCCGCAGCTGCCACCCAATAGGCAGCCTCACAGCCCAGTCTGACCCTGCCCACTCCCGGGACTCGCCAATCCCCGAGCAGCCACCGCCCTCTCCCTCGGAGGGCCCGCCCCCTGGGTGCTTCTTCCGGGTGGGGCCCGGGGCCGAGGCTATGGCGCCCTGGGCGCTCCTCAGCCCTGGGGTCCTGGTGCGAACCGGGCACACTGTGCTGACCTGGGGGATCACGCTGGTGCTCTTCCTGCACGATACCGGTGAGCCGGACCCCGCGCCACCCCGGACCCATCCGATCTCCCGTCGTTCCCCAGACGTTTGGGTCTCACTGGTCCCCTGCCGAAGCCCCAGAGACCCTGAGATTCAGCCCATCTCCGCCGACTCCTGAGGCCCCTTCCCCGTCTGTCATTCCAAGAGCTTTCCGCCTAAAACCCTGTCGATTCCTAAGTAACCCGGCATCTCTCTGATCCCTGCCAGATGCCCTGTCCATCCCAGGACCCATGCAATGGCCCCCATCTCCCCTGATCCTAGGATCCACCCGATCCTTCCCAGGAATTAACTTCCAGCCTTCCCTCTGTAAGATTCTGAGGATCAACTAGATCAAGGGCTGGCACCACGCCCTGTGGCCACTCGCTGCCCAAGTCCAGGCTCCCCACCCTCAGGCAAGAGAACACCCCAGGGGAGTGGCCTTTCCTCCATGTCCCCATCCTTGCTTCTTGCCCTAGTAGCGCCATTCACCCCCTAGTAGCCACATTCACCCCACAGACCCACCCCCACTTCCATCCCTCCTCTCTAGTTGCCACAGGCCGCCCCCAGCACAAGTTCTCACCCTCCCTCACTCCCACCATGGCAGCCCCCACCCCTGCCTGCTTCAGCCTCAGACCCTAGACAGGTGTTTTCACTGTCCTCCGGAGACCTTCTCAAGTTTCCTCCGCCATCAGCACTCTTGAGCCTAAAATCCTGCTTGGTCCCCCATCAGGAAGAACCCCCCCCCCTTCCTTCGCTCCCTTTTACAACCAAGGGGCACCAGAATTGTTCATTCTGCTGTCTGGCTCTCACACCCCTCACTCCTTAGCCCCCCAACCCCAACCCAAATCCTCAGTCACCTCCTGGGTTGGAGCATCCCAGCCTGCCAGCCCCACCTTCGTCTCTGTCTCAGGGGCATCTCAGACCTGGTCCGGCCCCTTCACCCCCTTAAGCCCATCTGTCCCCTCCTCTCCACTCTTCCTACCTGTGCCCTTCTCCAGCCACCTTCCTCCCCCTTCTAGACAGCCCTCTGTGCCTCGAGGCTTCCCCTCTAATCCATCTTCTCACCATTGGGAAGGTTTCCAGAAAAAGATATGACCTTCTAACCTCCCGTGATTCCCTGGTGTCCTCCAGAGAGTAAACTTTTTTTTTTTTTTTTTTGCTGGTCCTGCACTTCTGTATCCTATGCAGACCTGACCGTTCATCACACCCCATCTTCAGGCCTTTGCTCAATCAAGGACACACTCCCCACTCCCCACCTGTACCCCCCTTGCACCTGCCCCCACACACTGTCCTGTTCACCCCAGCCCTGCCTCACTCTCCTCCTCTGGTCTCTGCAGCACTGCGACAGTGGGAAGAACAGGGGGAGCTGCTCCTGCCCCTCACCTTCCTGCTCCTCGTGCTGGGCTCCCTGCTGCTGTACCTGGCCGTGTCACTCATGGACCCAGGCTATGTGAATGTCCAGCCCCAGGTAATCAGGGGGTTCCTGGGGACTTGAACCCCTCCTCCCACCAACAGCAGACCCAAGGCCCCAATAACAGCCTCATGACAGGCTCTGTGTGGAGGGGCATCTCAGTGAATCTTCTTGTCAGCCCGAGAAACCCACCCTGCAGTGAGGAAATCACCACGGCCCAGAGTGGGAGAGCAGCTGGCAAAGGTCGCACAGCCCGCTCGGTCCAGGGCACTCTGCCCCACTCTACCACCTCCACTACACACGGGATGGGCCCCAAAATGTGTTCACTAGCCATCTGCCTCCCAGGGGGACCCTATCTTATGCTCTTTCCCCATTTTCAGGAGGAGGCCAAGCAGGAGCAGACAGCCATGGTTCCTCAGGTCATCCCCCTTCGCCGCTGCAGATACTGCATGGTGCTGGTGGGTGACCGACTTCCTGGGAGGGGTCAGGGGCAAGGTTGAGACTCTCTGACCTCACCTTGGCCTCATCCCTCCAGCAAGGCCTCCCAGATTCAGGCCCCAACCTCCTGCCCTCACTGTTGGGTCCCCAGGGAGCCAGCACTGAGCCTGACTCTGCCCACAGCAGCCCCTGCGGGCCCGACACTGCAGCGAGTGCCGTCGCTGTGTCCGCCGCTACGACCACCACTGCCCCTGGATGGAGAACTGCGTGGGGGAGCGGAACCACCCGCTCTTCGTGGCCTACCTGGCATTGCAACTGCTGGTGCTTCTGTGGGGCCTGTACCTGGCATGGTGGGTTCTGCCACAGCCCGGGGGGGGGGGGGGGCGGGCAGCATGTGCCCACAAGGTGCGTACAGCCGGGACTCCCTCTTTAGGGGCCTCGGACCCTCTCCCAAATGGCCTGCCCATGTGGGCTCCCCAGGGCATCCCTGCCTTCCCCGGGCTCAGCCTCCATCTCTGTGCTGCCTACAGGTCTGGCCTCCGGTTCTTCCAGCCCTGGGGGCTGTGGCTGCGGTCCAGCGGGCTCCTGTTCGCCACCTTCCTGCTGCTCTCCCTCTTCTCGATAGTTGCTGGTCTGCTCCTGGCCTCGCACCTCTACCTGGTGGCCAGCAACACCACCACCTGGGAGTTCATGTCCTCACACCGCATTGCCTACCTCCGCCAGCGCCCTGGCAACCCCTTTGACCGCGGCCTGACCCGCAACCTGGCCCACTTCTTCTGTCAGTGGCCCGCGGCGTCCTGGGAGGCCCTCGGGGCGGAGGAGGAGGAGGAGGAGGAGGGCAGCAGCCAGGCTGTTTAGGGTCGCAGGAGGCAGAGCCACCATCTTGTGCCTGAAAACCGGAAGGGCCGACCGCAGGGCCCGGGCGCCTCACTTCTGCCCACCCCCAGCCTCGGGCAGGCTGGCCAGCAGAGCCCCTGCCTGTGGGCACTCCGCCTCCAAAGGGAGAAGGGAGGGAGAGGACCCGTGTGGGGCTGGGCCACTGATGTCCGGAGCTTCTGAGACCTCACCCCACCCCAGGCCAGAAGGCCTCCAGTGCACAGTTTTATAAATTTAATAATCCAATAAGCAAGTCAAGTATTAAAAAACAAACCACTCCTCGCTGTGCCACCCTTTCTGGCCCAGGTCTGGCTGGGAGGCAGAGGAAGGGTGGTGGGAGGGAGAGGGGAGCACCTGCCCAGTGACTGAGCCAAGCTCCCCGGGGCCCATGGCCGCCACCTCAAGTCCCCGGGGCTGACCAATACCAGGCAGGGCCTGGGCCGGCAGGGCAGGGCACACAGCCGGGCAGACGGGTGGGTGAGTGAAGCTCTAACAGTCTGGGGATGGGACAGGGACAGGAAGAGGACCTCAGGGCTCCAGGAATCGCTCTGACACGAAGTCGAAGTCCCGGAAGGCGGCCTGTTGGCGGGCAGTGAAGGGGCTGCGAGGGTCTGGCGGGGTCAGGGCAGGCGGCAACCCCGTGAACTCGCCCTCGAAGTAGCGCAGGTCCGTGGGGCCGCAGAGGGTGGGCGCAAAGGGGGGCTGGACAGTGCGGGCAAGCAGAGCCTGCCAGTTGGTGGTCTGGGGACAAGGGCAGAGGTGCCTGAGATGACAGGAATGGCGACCCACGTGGCCCCTCCACACCTCCCACTGTGCCAGGCAACTGGGGGACCACTGCACTGTGGCCACTCACCCTAAAGAAAGGCTGTGTCTTGATCTCCTCGGCGTCCTGCTCACCTGCCCCCAGGCGCTTCTCCGGGCACTTCTGGAGGAGCTGGGCAAGGAACAGGTGCGCACTGAGGGCACTGGGCCCCAGACACCGCCCCCTCCCCAAGTACCGCAAGTGACCTGGGCCACAGGGCCCCAAGGATGGGTGGTGACGGGACAGCCTGTGAGCCAGGAGCAGTCGTCTGGCCCAGCCCTGGACCCTGCGGTACCTTCTGAATGAGCTCGAGTCCTTGCACGGACAGAAAGTGAGGACGTGGGGCATCCGCATTGACGATGCAGTCAAACACCTCCTCCTCGGTGTCCCCAGGGAATGGGCACTGCGGGAATGGGGGCTCAGCAGGGTGCCTGGGCCACCCCCACCCCCACCTCGAGGCCTGGCAGCCCAGGTCCAGCTCTCACCTCGCCCACCAGCATCTCATACAGCAGCACACCCAGCCCCCACCAGTCCACAGCCCGTGTGTAGGCCTCCTGCGTCAGCACCTCAGGAGCCAGGAACTCTGGGGTGCCGCAGAAGGTGCTGGTCCGATCCCCAAAGCCAATCCCTGCAAACCAACATCCACACCAACACTGGTTCAGTGTGTCTGGTCCCCAGTAACCTCTGTGGTTGTAAGAACCAACAGCCAACCCTATGATCCCATGTCAGTACATGGGATCTGTGCCAACCCCTGCCCCCCCGCTCTTGGAGGTGGGAACGGTTTCTATGCCATCTGATGGAGGAGGGAGCTGAATCTCAGCCAAACTCATGCCAGGGTCAGAAGAAAGCAGAACCCAGTGCCCTCTCCCAGCTCTGAGCACAGGCTCTCCCTTAAGCCAAGGGCAAGGGCAAGGGCAAGCTAGGGCTCTTTATAGCTTGTAGGATTGGGAAGGAAGCACCAATGTATCCAGCTGGTCCCTGGAATGAGGATGGGGATGGGGATATTTCCCGGGAGATGCCACTTGCCCATTGCCCTGCTGGCCCGGACTGGGTGAGGAAGGCTGGAGGACACGGATCCTGGACTGCAGACACCCACCTTCCTTACACAGTCCAAAGTCTGCGATCTTCAGGAAACCCTGGGCATCCAGCAGAAGATTATCCAACTTAAGGTCCCTGAGGGGAAGGGGGAGCAGATCAAAGGGGCCCTTGGAACAGGGGCCCAGGAGAAGGGCAGCATCTGCTCCCTCCCCAGCATCTCCGGGCTAAGTTACCTGTAAATGATCTTCTTCTCGTGTAAGAATTGCAGTCCCAGGACCACACAAGCCAGGTAGAAGCTGGAGGGGTGTTTAAGGAAAGTTTAGGCCCAGAAAGGGGAGGCGGGGCAGCAGGATGGCCAGGGCCTGGGGACCCTCGGATGTTCCAGCTAGAGTTAGATGTGGACGAGAGACTGGGACAAGTGTTATGCCAGGTGTGGGGCTCCTCCAGGCAACAGCCCCAAGGTTGTCCCACGGTTGCTGCGGCTAACAGCCTACCCTTCCTGGGCTCTTACACCGCGCGGGCGCAGTGCAGAGTTCTCAGGCCTTATTCTCCCTGACTCCTCCCAGTAGTCTGTCCATGCCCATTTTTCAATTTTTAATTATTTTTAAATGTTTTTATTGATTTTTAGAGAGAGAGGGAGGGAGAGAGAGAGAGAAACATCGATGTGAAAGAGAGAAACATCGATCAGCTGCCTCCTGCATGCCCTCCCACTGGGGATCCAGCTCACAACCCAGGCATGTGCCCTGACCAGGAATCGAACCAGGACCTCTCAGTCCATGGGACGACGGTCAATCCACTGAGCCACACTAGGTGTGCTGCATGCCTGTTTTTTTTTAAATATGTTTTTATTGACTTCAGAGAGAGGACGGAAGAGAGAGAGAGAGAGAGAAACATCAATGAGAGAGAAGCGTTCATCGGCTGCCTCCTGCATGCTCCTGCTGGGGACTGAGCTTGTGACTTGGGCATGTGCCCTGACAGAACAGAACCTCTTGTTGCATGGGAGGACGCTCAACCAACTTAGCCACACCGGCCAGGCTGCATTTTTCTTTATTATCCTCACCAGGGGACTTTATTTTTTTTGCATTTATCTTCAGATAGAGTGGAAGGGAGAGAGAGAGAGAGAAACATCGATGTGAGAGAGACACATCGAGTGGCTGCCACCCACACAACCCCAACCGGGGACAGGTGGCAAACTGTAACCGAGGTACGTGCCCTTAGCGAGAATCGAACCCGGGACTCTCTGGTCCGCGGGCTGACGTTCTAACCACTGAGCCAAACCGGCCAGGGCCAAGCTGCATTTTTCAAATGAAGATTTGAGACTCCAAGTAAGTGATGTGCCCGGAGTCACACAGCTAGTGGTAGAGCTGACATGAGCCCAGACTTCAGGGTCTGCACTCTGGTGGACAAGAAATAACTTCTATTCACCGGTCCCTGTGCTTGGCAATTCATAAATGTTATGCTCATCTATGCAGCAACCCTATGAGAAAGTTAGTAACCCAATTCAAAACCACATAAACCGAGGCCCAAGGTCACAAATGCCATGAGAGCTGATAACCAGGGTTTGAACCAAGGCCTCCCTGACTCCCTGACCTTCTGCTGACGGGTGTGTAGAGAAAGCAGGGTGAGGAGGGTGGGTATAGGGAACCAGGGAAGGCTTATTGGAAGGGGCAGACAAGAGAAACGGAAACCCACCAGGCCTGGGGCTCAGGGAAAACGTCCTCATGGATCTGCATCATGAGGTCACCACCCGGCGCAAACTCGGTCACAAAGCAGGCGTGGCTGGAGGTCTGGAAGCAGGCAAGGAGGGACAGCAGGAAGGGGTGCCCCGAGCGGCCCACAGCCTCTAGGATCCGCTTCTCGCAGTACAGGCTGCAGGGGAGGGCGTGGGTTTCAGAGGAAGGAAAACCTCTGCAGGCTGTGCCCCACCGCACACAGCACGCCCCAAGCTCACTGCATCTTCAGTCAGCGTGCCAGGAGCTATGTAGAGTGATGGTTTCTATGTATCAGGGGCTCACATGGGTCATTTAACCTGCACAACCACCACCGTCCCATTTTACAGATGAGGAACTAAGGTGCAGACATAAGAAGGGACCTGTCCCAGGGCACACCATTAACTGCAGGAGCTAAAAAGACAGCCCAGGCCTGGCTGGCCCGAGAGTCACCAATTCAAAGCCCCAGGAACATTCAGCTGCCTTCTGGTGCCAACAAGCCAGGCCCGTCATCCTGGGCACCTCCAGGACCAGGTGCCCCATGGCATCACTACACACCTCTCGACCTCCTCCCGGCTCAGCACCTCCTGCTTCTTCAGTGCTTTGATGGCGTAGTATTTCCCTGTCCCCTTGAACTGCACCAGGAGAACCTGGGACCAGAGAGAGGTTGGGCTCCAGGTGGGCAGTACAGGGGAGATTTACTTCCCCCAACTACTGCTTAACCATTACAGCACCCTCCCAGCTAATGGGCTGAGGGCCGCCCAGCCCCTCCACGGCAGCCTCCCCAGTCCACTACCTTCCCGAAGTGTCCCCGGCCCAGCACGGCCAAGCAGCGGAAGTCCTGAAGCCGAGGGGGTTTCCTGCAGGAGAGAGCACAGGAAGCCCTCTGGGACAAGGGTGGGGCCTCCACCAAGAGCCAGTCCAAACCCTCCATGCCCAGTCCCGGCCTGTCCCCATGTGTGGGACTGGGTGGGGACTCCTAGGACAGCAGTTGCCTAGAGTCTGGTGTACAGCTGGAGTTCAACGATGTTGGTTCAGAGAGTTAGAACCTGAGAGTGAACACGCCCAGGAGATGCAGCGTGATGTCTGAGGGGACACACAAGCACTCGGGTGAGTGGATAATGTCTCAAACACGAAGGGAACCTGACCGGGGGTACCTGGTGGCTGACACTGGTACAGGTGACCCGAGTCGAGTCCTGGGCTCCATGTGGGGGCGTTTGGTGCGCTGTGAGGGCAGAGGACATAGGACAGAGCAGGGCTTCCTTCCTCTCTCCCTCGAGCTCCGCCACCCCGCCCAGCACTCCCAGGCTACCAGCACCCCCTCACCGGTGTCTCCTCCTGGGTTGGCTCCCGGGGCAGGTAGAGGCGTAGGGGCTTGGGTGGCGGTCTCATCTCTTCTCCCAAGGGGGTCTTCTTGGGTGGAAAATTACTGTGGGGAGGAAGCAGACACACGGTAGGGCACAGGCAGACAGAACAGCTTGGGGATGGACACACAGCCGTGTCGAGAGATAGAGGGTCAGAAGGTGAGCAGCAGGGACAGAAAGACAGACACTGATGGCACCTGGAGAGGTGGATGCCGCAGGGAAGCAGGTGGCTCCTCACCTGGGCGAGGCAGGGTTGGCAGCCCCCCGAGGCACGGTAGGGGCCTGGGGGCACCCTTTGGGAGGGCTGATCGTGCTTGGGGAGCTGCAGGGGGGCAGCAGGTTCATGACCAAACGCCCCCAGGCTGCCATGCTGAGGTTCATCTGGGAAGCCCTCAGGAAGTCCTGACCTGGGACAAAAGGGGGGTTCAATCTCGGGGCCCCCAGATGCCCCTGCCCTATTCCCTACATGCACAGCCCTCTCCAGTCCATACCCCTGCGTTTAGAGAAAATGCGTTTCTGCCTCTGCAGCCGGGGTCTCCTCTCAATGACAGGGTCACAGAAGGTTACCTGTGGGGGTGGGGGGCAGGGCTGAAGACCAGTCCCCTCCCACCCCATCTGCCATGGGCACCTCCCCAGCCCCCAGGATTCCAGCCTGAGGCCCCAGTGTCAACAATGCAAGAGCCAGAAGGGCCCAGAGAGATGGATTCAACATCTTCCTTGATACCAGTGGGGAAACTGAGGCCTGGAGAAGAGAGGCACTTGTCTGGGGTCACACATGGAGCAGGGAGGTCAGGACAAGGACACAGGCCTCTAGACGCCCGTGAGGTCCTCAGACAGCCTGGGAATCTATCCTTGGAGACCTCCCTCCTCCGGGCCTCAGTTTCCACTCCTCGGCACAGGCGGGTCCTGCAGTGTCCAAGGCTTCCTAGCTCCGATGGCGCCAGGAGCCCACGCGGTCCGAAGGCAGGTGTCAGTGAGCACCTGGGCAAAGAGCAGCCCCTGTGGCACCAGGCTGAGGGTGAGCTGGTGACAAGCATTGTCCAGGAAGTCCTCCAGCCGCAGGAAGACCACACCGCAGAGCTGTCGCCAGTCCCGCCAACGCACCCCAATCTCCAGCTCTCGGGCCTATGTTGGAAAGGCCAGGTTGAAGATGGGGCTGGCCTTCTACCCCACGGCCCACGGTCACCCCTGGCCTCATCAGGGCCAGCCTCACCCGCTCCAGGGGGATGACAAAGGTCTGGTCCCAGGACTGCTTGGCCACCGGCCCCCAACCTGTCTGGCCCACGACACGATTATCCACCTTTAGCACGGCCAGCACCTCACCTGCAGGGCCAGAGCAAGGGCTCAGGGAAGGCCAGGAGTGGGGGTCCTTTGCCGCCCCCCACAGCTCCCTGCAGCCCCTTACTCACTGGCCAGCTGGCCTCCGCCACGCTGCTGCCTGGCCCTGCCTCGAAGCCAGCCCTGGGAAGGACTGCCAGCCAGCGCGGCCACGGGGGACCGGCCGGGCACCACTGTCAGCAGCTGCTCACAGCCCAGGAGGCAGACCTGCAGTGTCCCTGTAGGGAGTGTGGGGGAGGGGGGACGTCATCAGGTTCCCGCCTCCCCTGCCACCACCAGTGGACCCCCCGAGCCCCAGGAGCGCTACCTTCTCCTAGAAATGGCTGAGCCCACAGCCCACCCACATGAGGCCTTGGCAGCCATCTGCACCCTCCAGGCAGACCAGCTGGCCCTCCCCTCTCGAGCACTGTCCATGTGTTGGGGGCAGCAGGGACCCACAGGAAGAGGAGGGACACTCAGACCTCAGCCAGGCTGCACGGAGCCACAGAGCATAATGACATCTGGCTCAGGGCCTGGGGAGCACCGTGGCAAAGACAAGAGCTTGGGGAGCAGGAAGCTTAGCTGCCTGTCCTATCCCCCTCCTCCCTGGGCCTCAGTTTCCCCACATGTACAGAGGAAATGAGTCTCAGCTCTGTCTCAGTTCCCACAAGAGATACAAAGAATGTTTTGCCAACCAAATGGATTCATTTCTAGGGTCACTAGACTTTTGTCACTCAAAGGGTAGAGGAAGCAGTAGGAATCTAGCAGTTTTTGATGAAATAAACTAAGTCAAAGAGCACCAGGCCTCGGTGTTATACTCTGAGGGACCTTATAAAAAAGGCAGTGGCCACCCTGGCCAGTGTGGCTCAGTTGGTTAAGTGTTGTCCCGTGCACCAAAAGGTCGCTGGTTTGATTTCCAGTCAGGGCACATGCCCAGATGGTGGGCTAGATTCCCAGTAGGGGTCGTGCAGGAGGCAGCTGATTGATGTTTCTTCCGTACATCAGTGTTTCTCTCTCTCTCTCTCTCTCTCTCTCTCTCTCTCTTTTTGTTTTTTTATCCTCACCCAAGGACATTTTTGCATTTATCTTCAGATACAGTGGGAGGGAGAGAGAGAAACATCAATGTGAGAGACAGACATTGAATGGTTGCCACCCACACGACCCCAACCAGGACCGGGGACAAACTGTAACCAAGGTACGTGCCCTTAGTGGGAACCGAACCCGATGCTATAACCACTGAGCCAAACTAGCCAGGGCTCTCTCTCTTTCTTGCTCTTCCTTCCTCTCTAAAAAAATCAATAAAAACATATTTTTTTAAGAAAACTTTTTTTTTCTTTATTGATTTTAGAGAGAGGAAGGAAGAGAGAGAGAGAGAGAAACATCGATGAGAGAAAACATCGATTGGCCACCTCCTGCATGCCCCCCACTGGGGATTGGGCCCACAACCTGGGCACGTGCCCTGACCTGGAATCAAACATCGATGTGAGAGAGAGACATCAACTGGTTGCCACCCACAAGACCCCAACCAGGACAGGGGACAAACCACAACCAAGGTACGTGCCCCCAGCGGGAACCGAACCTGGGACTCTCTGGTCCACGGGCCGACGCGCTAACTGCTGAGCCAAACCAAACAGGGCAAAACATACATTTTTTAAAAAGGCAGTGCACCCTGGCGGGCATGCCTCAGTGGTTAGAGCATCAACCCAGGCACTGAAGGGTTGCAGGTTCAATTCCCAGTCAAGGGCACGTACCTGGCTTTCCAGGTCCGATCCCCAGCCCTTGTTGGGTCATGGGCAGGAAGGCAACCAATCGATGTCTCTCTCTCCCCCCCTCCCATTCCCCCATCCCTTTCACTCTCTAAAAATCAGTGGAAAAAATACCCTCAGGTGAGGATTAACAACAACAAAGGCAGTGGCCAGAGGTGGAAGATTATATGGGGAAGAGCAAGGAATTAAGGTGTTTAGTCAGGACACAGGATATGGAGTGGCCCCAAGTAGTTCACCTTCTAGGCCTCTTAATAAGCCTCTTCCCCTATCTTCCCCAATTCATCCATTTGGCCAAATGCCATAGGCCCTGCAAAGCCAAGCACAGACACCTACCACCATCTCCTCCAGGAAGCCTCCCAGGTCCCCAAGGCCAGGTGAAGGGGCCCATCCAGCCTCTATACATCCCCTTTCAGCTCTGCTCACAGTGGGATGTGGCCTAGGTACCCCTGCACCAGCTCTGCGCAGGAAGGCGCTGGGCTCTCGAGTTGGTACTGTCCCAGGTGGGAAGCTAGGGCTTCCAAAGTCTGCACTCTGAGATTATTAACTGATTGCAATTCAGCTTTCACTCTAAGCAGACAGATCCAACTCGGGATAAGAAAGAACCCTGTGCCCTGGCCGGTTTGGCTCAGCGGTTGGAGCGTCGGCCTGCGGTACAGAGAGACCCGGGTTCGGTTCCCGCTAAGGGCACGTACCTCGGTTGCAGTTTGTCCCCGGCCCTCGTTGGTCGTGAGGGTGGCAGCCACTCAATGTGTCCCTTCACATTGATGTTTCTCTCTCTCTTCCTCTCTCTCCCTCCTGCTCTATCTGAACAAAAAATGGAAAAATGTCCTCGGGTAAGGATAAAAAAAAAAAAAAAAAAGAACCCTGTAATAGTCCAAGTTGCCCAGGACCGGGTACCAAGGCCTCCAGGACTGTGAGCTCCCTAACAGCAGCGCTTTAAGCATTACCATGGTTACTGATTTAGATAATAGCTTTGCCCATAGAGTGCTAAATGCCTGCAGAGTGCTTAGCACTTCACATGCAACAAACAACTCACGGAATTTTCACAGCAACCCCCTGAAGGAGGTGCTGTTAGCATCCCTGTTTTACAGCTGGATAAACTGAGGTTTGGAGAAAGGCTGTCAATTGTCCAAGGCCTCCCAGCTAGGGGGCGGTGGGGTCAGGATTGGAACCCTTCTCCAAAGTTCTTCCCCACTGCATTTCAGAGTCCTCTCTGGAAGGGAAAGAGCTCTGATGCGGGAGGGACCCCTGGCTACCTGTCACGGCGGTGGGCTTTACAAGCGTCCCTGAAGGCTGGGGGTTCCCAGACACGGCGGTCCGCAGCTCCCGGGCCCCTCTGCCGCGCAGAGGGTGGGCAGGAGGCAGTCCCTCCAGCAGCTGCTCGAAGGCCAGCCGCAGGAGGTCTAGTTTCTGGGAGGACTCCTGGAGCTGGGCCTGAGCCTGCAGAGAGGATACAGGCCCATGGAGTAAGGGGATGTGGGGGAACTGGCTCAGGCCACCTGCAGACACCCCCGATGAGGTCTAGACAGAATGAGCCTCCCGGTTCCTCATTGCCACCCCGCACAACCAGTCCACAGTGCCTCCCACCACTGCAGAGGGGGGCACAGGAACAAGGAGACCCTCAGAGAGGAGCAGCAACAGGAGGGGACGATGGTCTGACCTCAGCCAGCGCCTTGCGGTCTTGCGTCCGCCGGCTGCCCATCAGCTTCACCACGTTCTTGGCACCCTTGGCCACAGCAGCCTCAATGCACAGTCGGTGCCTCAGCTCCTCCGCCAGCAGCTCAGGACCTGGGAGAAGGGGGTCAGCCCTCAGGCCTATGCCCTGCTCTGCCCTGCCCATCCTCACTTCTCAAGGCCTCACCTGGCTCAGGGGAACCGCTGGCTTCCAGGCTGCTAATCTTCATTCGCAGCAGGGCCACCTTCAGCTGGCTGTCCCGCAGCATCTGCTGGGCAGCTGCCAGGAGCTTCCTCCCCTGTGGGGGTCGTGACACATGCTAGCCCAGAGCCTCCTTGGCCAGACCAGGGACTGGAGCCAAGCCTCCCCCGTCAGACCGGAGTTGAAGCCAAGCCTCTCAGTAGGCCAGATAAAGGGCCAAGCCTCCCTTGTTAGACCAGGTCTGGGGTGGAGTCTCCCACAGCAGACCAGATAGGGGCTCAGGTCAAGCCTCCTCCAACAGATCAGGTCTGAGCTCCCCCCATCATGCTGGAGGCTGGGACCGGGGCTGGGCCTTCCCTACTAGACAGAATGTCAGTGTTGTGCCTTCTCTGCAGACTAGGGATTCAGGCTATCCCTTCCCCACCAAGCTTTTCCCAGCAGACTAAGGGTTAGGACTGGGTCTCCCTTATAGGGTCAATGGCTGGGTTGCCTTTCCCCTGCAGATCAGAGGCTGGAACAGCACCTCCTCCAATCATCTGAGAGCCAAATCTCTCCCCGTCAGAGCCCAGGACCCTTACCTTGGGCGTGCCGCTGGCATACGTGTGGGTCATGTTCTCAGCCCCCTGCTTTACCTTCAACTCCACCTGTAGCTGCCTCTGCAGAGCCTCCAGGTGCCGGGCCCTCGGCTGCTCTGCCAGAGGCCAGGGTCCCGGGGCCACAGGTTCTGTGTGACAAAGCGTGGGGCACATGAACTCACCTATGGCCTAGCTCTCTCCTCCCTCCCCTCCAGCACAGAGGCTACCTGAGGAGGCTCTGTGAGTGGTCAGGGCCGAGGAGCTGGGTTCGCCTGGTGCCCCCTGTCCGCAGGGGTCTGCCCGGACTCCTCCCTCACCAGCCGGGGGGCCGGGCAGCAGGATGCGGGCATGCAGCTCCTGGAGCTCCCCATGCAGCTGCTCTAGCCGGCGGTTGGAGGACCTGAGCAGCTGCTGCACGTGGCCCAGGTGGCGGCGGTCTGTGGCCACCCGCCGCAGGTTCTCCACACCCTCCTTGATTTTTAGCTCCTTCTGGATGGCCCGGCGGATCACCTCTTTCTCATCCTCTGGCGGCCGCTGGCCCACGCCAGGCTGTGGAATGGCAGAGGATCATGCCACTCAGTGCCTGCTGCCACCAGCCTCAGCTTACCAGACAGTGGGGGAGGGAGGCATGGATGCCACCCAGGACCCATACACAAGGCTTGGAAAGCATCTCTGACCGCAGAGCGAGAATCCCTAAACCAGGTGAAAACCCCAAGGCTGTTTATCCAGCCCAGGCTCCTGTCCTCTGCGTTGGAGGCAAGGGTGAGGGGAAAACTGTTCACGTGCACGAGGTGCTACAGGGTGCCAGGGTCTGTTTTAAAAGCTTTGCATACGTTAATTTGTCAATCCTGATATCAACCCCATGAAGTAGGTGCAGTTATTATCCCCATTTTACCTTTTTTTTTTTTCCCCCAATTTTTTTCTTCGGAGAGCGTGGGAGAGAGTGAAAGAGAAATATCGACGTGAGAGGGACACATCAACTGGTTGCCTCCCGCACGACTCTGACCAGGGCTAGGGACAAACCGCATGCCCTTGACCGGAATTGAACACTCGACTCATTGTCCGTGGGCTGGCACTCTACGGCTGAGCCAACCGGCCAGGGCTATTATCCCCATTTTAAAGGTGAGAAAACTGAGACACAGAGAGAGGTTAAGTAATCTGCCCAAGGTCACACCACGAAGAAATCACCACCCCTTGAACTCCAGCCCCTTCTTGCCAGCCACGGTTCAACAACTGCTGCTCAAAGGCTGGGGTTCAGGCTAAGATTTGGGCCAGAAAAGAGGCTAGGGATTCACTCAAGGTTACAGGGCAGCTGGAGGCCTGGGTAGGGGTCAGGACTGTTCCCCTGATGCCTCAGGTGGCAAAGCAGAGGCACATAGAAGGGACAGGAAGGTCTGCAGGCACCCACTCCCAGCTAAGCTCCCGGGAGGAAGAAGGCTTTCTCACAACTTCACCCCAGGCTGGAGCAAGGAAGAGGAAAACCTTCTTCCCAGAGGCCATTTCGAACCAACGGTGCCAAAGCTGACCTCAGCCCAGGGTAACCCATGACACCTCCCAGGGACTCTTGCAGGGCCTCCACCTTACCTCTCGGCTCTCCATCTCCTGATCCCAGTGGAAGGGTGGTCACTCCAGGCTCAGGGACCCCACCCCCCTCCCCAGGTCTCTGTGCCCCGATGGCCAGGCAGTCCAGGGCAGGGGTGGGGCTCAGGAAATCCTTTGCCGGCTCTAGGCGAGAAGGCCAGAGCCAAAGGCCTGAGCAAACAAAGACCTCATGGAGCTGGGGGCCCGTCCACCGGGGTCCTGAGTCACCCAACTACCACTATTGGGCGGAGGTTCACAGGAAATAGGAAAATGTGTACAAGTCGCTGCTGGAACAGGCGGAGAGACCTCCGGAGGAAGGGGGTGGGAGAGGGAAGACGCAGCCCTAAAGGTTGCCTAAGCATTGGGGTGGAGGCCACCCTTGAGCATGGCCCAGACTCCTGTCTGCTGTGGGCTGGACTCCTGCCCTGGGCGCACACACCTCCCCCGTTAGCTCTGGACTAGAATATGCCTTCTCCCTCCTCAGTGACAGATAGGCACACAGCCTTGGCCCCCGTGCCTGCAGCCACCGCACCCCTTCACCATTAGGGCCGGAACCCTCTACGTAGCCGAAGTTCCCGCCCAGGCACCGAGCAGGCGCTGGGCTCGGCCCCTCGGCCTGTCACTCTTCCGAGCCGCTGTGTCCTGGGAGGGACCCTCTCCCTACGTGCGCGGGGGCCGCCCCGCCGAGCTCGGGCCCCTTCTCCCGGAGCCCACGGGTCTTTCCCCGGGTCGTTCCCTTCGCTTTCCCGGCCGATTCGCCTGGGCCGTAAGTTCTACCTGGAAGGACCGATTTTAGGGAACTTCGGGACCCACCCTAGTGGCTGACTGAGGATTCAGAGGTGCTCATAGGCTGGCCTGGCCGGAGGTTCTGAGTCAACTGGGGGGTGATTTGGGGACATGTCCGGGGACATGAATGGCGTACCCGCCGGCGCGCAGTTGTGCCCTGCGAAGGGGTCGGGGGTCCGGGGCAGGGGCGGGGCAGGGGACACCGCCGGAGGCTTCCCCGCCCCCCTGGCCCGCGCCCGCAGCCCGGCTCCTCCCGGCCGTTCACCTGCCGCGGCGCCCCCTCCTCCATGGCGCCGCTCCGGCCGCTCGGCCCCTCCTCTCCTCCAGTCCGGTTCCGGAAGCCCGGGCCCTTCCGCGGAGACTTTCAAAACTCGAAACTTCCCGGGAAGCCGCGCCGGAGCCGCGGGATCGGGCGCCCCCTCTCGAGGTCCGCGGGCCCTCCGGGGACCTGGAGTCAGCGCCGCCGCCCGGCTGCGCCAGGTCGGCTGTCGGTCCTCCAGCCCTGCACCCGCGGCCACGGCGCCTCCCCGGACCCGGCGCCCCCGGGCTGTGGGACCCAGCGCGCCCTCTCCGGAGGCCGCCGTTCCTTCTCGCTGGCACTGACCCGCGTCCCGGGACAGAGGGGCTGGAGGGGCATTTCCCGGGCTGGTTCCCCGGCTGCCCCGCCGCGTGCTCAGAGGGGCGGGTCCGAGTGGAGACAGCGCCGCCTGCCGGCCGCGGGCCGCACCCTGTGTGGCCGGGCGGCTCCAGGCCGGGTCCGCCTCCCCTTCCGAGGAACCCCGCCACGACCTGGCTCCGCCCCGAAGTTTCTCTTCCTCGCAGATGTCGTTGATGTAAAAAGGGATGATCCCAAACCTGTAGCCCCCTCGAAGCCTTGGCCCTGCCAGTAGTTACTGTAAGAACGTATGCTTCTGAAAAAAGTAAAGCCTCGCCCAAATTATGCCAGACTACCAATTTGGAAGTAAAGACTTTCCGCTTCTGACTGCAGCTCGCAGGCTAGGGGGGAAATCATGAATCGAACTAGCAAAGCTCCCAGGAGGATGGGCTAGCTCCTATCCTGAGGATCACTTATTCACTCCTGCAGCCAGAAAGCTTAACTATGTGAAATAAATTTATTTTCCAAATTTTCTTTGAAGTGCTTCGCTGCCTCACTTGTCACTAAGGGAAAGTTCAGAAGTAGAATCCATCCATCTTTTTAGTGAACCCCAGGCTGGACAAACCTACAGAGAAACCTGATGGGAGTCTGACCAGATAGCTAAGCTGCACTGTTTGTCTGACAGTGATGGTAATCCATGAAAAAATGTTTTTCTTTGATTTTAGAGAGAGAGAGAAAGGGAGAGGGAGAGAGAGAGAAACATCAATGAGAGAGAACATAAATTGGCCACCTCCTACATGCTCCCCACCGGGGATTGGGCTCACAACCTGGGCATGGGTGTACGCTCAACCACTGAGACACACCAGTTGGGCTCATGAAATTTTAATTCTTAGCAAAATAGAAGTTTACATTCAATATCCGTCCTATTGTGAACAGTGCAAACCAACTCTCCAGCTAATTGGCTGTTAAATTGTACAACTATCGTCCTGGTTAGAGCGTTGACCTGCAGTCCCGAGAGACCCGGGTTCGGTTCCCGCTAAGGGCGTGTACCTTGGTTGCAGTTTGTCCCCAGCCCTAGTTGGGTAGTGCGGGTGGCAGCCACTCAATGTGTCCCTTTCACGTCGATGTTTCTCTCTCTCTCCTTCCCACTCTATCTGAGCAAAAAAAAAAAAAAGGGAAAATGTCCTCAGGTGAGGATGAAAAAAAAAAAAGTACAACTTGCCCTGGCCGGTTTGGCTCAGCGGTTAGAGCGTCAGCCTGCGGTCCGGAGAGACCCAGGTTCGGTTCCCGCTAAGGGCACGTACTTCGGTTGCAGTTTGTCCCCAGCCCTGGTTGGTCGTGCGGGTGGCAGCCACTCAATGTGTCTCTTTCACGTCGATGTTTCTCTCTCCCTCTCTCTCCCTCCCACTCTATCTGTACAAGGACTGGAAAAATGTCCTCGGGTGAGGATAAAAAAAAAAAAAGTACAACTATCAACCTGAAAGAAACCTAAATTGCTAGCGGGGTACATAAGGAAACATTTCCCCTTTCTATACTCTCTATTCTCGGTGTGGCAAACATCAATCCATCTACATCTAGATTTGCCTCCCTTGGGTATTACCTGAGTACACAATGTCACCAACTAATAAAGTTGGCACACATCCTCCTTTAAAAAGTCCTCTGTTCTTCTAATCACAAAACTAGTCCTTTCCTTAGGAGCTATTAATAAGTACATTTCTAAGTCAATAAGCACAGCCATATATTCAAAAGGAAATGGTTACTGCTGGGGTGGAGGATAGACTTTTCAAAATAAGATGTCCTCTTTAAACAATTGGAAAGACTACTCATTCACTTCCTAGAGAGCTGTCTCAGTCTTCAAGAAATCCTGGTCTTCCTTCACCCTTTGCAACAGAATTCCATTCTTGTTATAGAAAAAGGGGTTCATAGAATAACAAAAGAAGGCAGAAAAAACAAATGTTTCTGGGACCAAGAGAAACCATGAAATCACTTGTTGTAAAGCAGAAATTATCAGAACTGTCAGATCAATTCAGAAACACAACTGTCCAGGAATTCTCTGAATACCCAAAAGGTCCCCCAAATTAAAAGTCAAAAACTCGTACCTTTTATAGCTAAACAGCTAATCCAAGTGAAGGCCAGATGTAAAGCAAATTTGTCAGTCCAATGGGACATCCAAGTATTTTTGTAGTTGTTACAGATGTTTCTCCTCCCCCCCCCCCCCCGTTCCCTCCTTCCCCTCCCTCCCTGCCCTGTCCCCAGCTTTGTTGTCCATTGTTCATGCATACATGGATATAAGTTCTGTGGTTTATCTCCCCTCCCCCACTCCCTCTTCTGGGCATTGTCCGTCTGTACCCCACTTCCATGTCTCTGGGACTAGCCCATTCCTCAGACTGTTGTGTTCATTATATTCCACAAATAAGTGCGATCATATGATACTTGTCTTTCTCTGGCTTGTTTTGATTAGGATATTTTCCAGGTCCCTCCATGTCCTCTCAAAGGATAAGAGATCTTTCTTACAGCTGCATAGTACTCCATTGTGTATATATATCACAGTGTTTTTATCCATTCGTCTACTGATGGACACTTGGGCTGTTTCCAGATCTTAGCTATTGTAAATAGTGCTGCTATGAACATGGGGGTACATACATTCTATTGGTGTTTCAGGCTTCTTAAGGGTGCTTTGGTCATGGCGTGGTGCCTGGAAATCCAGGTATTCTGTGAGTCATTTAAGCTACATATTAGAGCCAGAGTTGGGTGAAATACTAAGGGCCCACTATGAAGGTCAAGGGAATAAATCTTTCAGAAACCAGGACATCATTGGAGAAACCAATGTTAACCTGAACTGCAGTGGTCTAAACCAGCATACTCAAGGTTTTGAAATTAATGTACACACACATTACAAGCTCCCATCCTCTATGCCCCAATTTATTAGTTATTAAGTTCCCTATATAAGCTAAGTGTAACAGTTTGGGGAGAAACTAAACTATTTGCAACTTTTTAGAAAATGATCAGTGGTTCCTGGCCGATGTGGCTCAGTGGACTGAGTGTCATCCCAGGAACTAAGGTCCTGGTTCAATTCCCAGTCAGAGCACATGCCTGAGTTTCGGGTTTGAGCCCCAGTCAGAGGTGTACAGGAGGTGGTCCACCAGTGTCTCTCTAAAGAAATCAATAAAAACATATGGTTGCCTCCTGTACAACCAGGGCCAGGGGCAAACCACACCAAGGTATGTGCACTTGACCGGAATCAAACCCGACTCTGGTCCATGGGCCAACGCTCTAACCGCTGAGCAAAACCGGCCAGGACTGTTCTTTTTAAATGTCCTTGTACCAAAGGAGCTTTGAGCCATTCATCTAGCACTTCCAAATACATACCTCGCCCTGGCCGGTTTGGCTCAGCGGTTAGAGCGTCGGCCTGCGGTCCTGAGAGACCCGGGTTCGGTTCCCGCTAAGGGCATGTACCTCGGCTGCAGTTTGTCCCCGGCCCTGGTTGGTCGTGCGGGTGGCGGCCACTCGATGTGTTCCTTTCATGTCGATGTTCCTCTCTCTCCCTCCCACTCTACCTGAACAAAAAATGGCAAAATGTCCTCGGGTGAGGATTAAAAAAAAAAACAAAACAAAAAAACCCAAATACATACCTAAGAGCCAGCCCAAGAACTCCCTTTGCAATTAGTTATAAAAACACACTAGCTACTCTGTAGCCATTTCCCAGCACCCTAAAGTTGCCACTTTGTTTCCTCACAACCCAACACTCTTAAGACTTGCAGGGCACTGGAATCTAGAGTCAACTTGCCCAAGGGTTCAGTGGTTGAGCATCGACCAAGAGGTTGTAAGTTCGATTCCTGGTCAGGACACATGCCCAGGTTGTGGGCTTGATCCCCAGTGGGCATGCAGGAAGCAGCCAACTGATATTCTCATTGATATTTCTAGCTGTCTTCCTCTCACTTCCCCTCCCTAAAATCAATAAAAGGCCCTGGCTGGTTTGGCTCAGGGGTTAGAGCATTGGCCCACGGACCAGAGTCACGGGTTTGACTCTGATCAAGGGCATGTACCCAGTTGCGGTTCATCCCTGGCCCTGGTCGGGGTTGTGTGGGAGGCAGCCAGTCGATGTGCCTCTCTCACACTGACATTTCTCTCTTCTCCCCTCTCCCTCCTGCTCTGGAGAAAAATGCAAAAGGAAGTTGCCTTTAGTGACTCGTGTGTCTTATACTCACCTTTTCGTGATGTTGCCTGTGCTATACTGTTTAACTATTTAGACTTCCCCCACTTCCTGTCACTATAAACACAAACAAGACAAAAACTTGCTTATCTAAATCCAAAAGCAAGAAACATTTCTCTACAAAACAAGGAGAATGACCCCAGTCCAAAAAATCTTTGTTCCTTTATTGGAGCAAGATTCCTGACCAGTATACAGTGATGTATTCACTAAACAGAGACCTGTGCAGAAATTACATACTATCCATCTAGATAGGTTTATTACACTTTGCCTATTGATGGAGTTCCATTTATAAAGTTTTATACATCAAAAAGCTTTGAATTTGACCAGGCTGTCCATTAATTCATTAATTCATCTCTGAAAAAGTTAAGTGGCATTTAATTTTACCTACTATATTTTACAGCATTAAAAAGCTTAGGCATTAGGTAGCTTCTCAAAATGTTCTACGCACGATGGCATTTTGCAGAGGCCATCATCTCGCCCTGATTCACAGACAGGTCTCATTTGAGAACGATTAAGCTAAGTAGCTGGTACTTAGAGACAAAAGTACTCCTAACCTGAGTTTCTTAACCACCAATACGGGCTTACTCTGACAGCCTATCTTCTTGGCCACATTTTATAGTGCCAATAAAGACATGCCAGCAATAGCCCCGTGTGTAACTCAGCATTACAGCACCAGATCTGTCTGGTGGTGTTGGCAGGCACTATTATTATGTCCAGGTAAATACAGACCCATTTTTTAAAATGCCAATTTGATATACAAAGCTAAGGGTACAACATACTCAGAACTGAATTTTGAGCCATCTGGTATTCCAAATGATTTGAAAATTGTCATAAACTGATATCAAACTGTATTCGTGATGTTTCTCAGCTATGGAGACATTAATACATTGAAGAAAATCCCTTTATTCAGTCCACATAGCCCTGAGGTCATCCTGCAAAGTGCGCATCCAAAAAAATACGTAGTTACGTTGACAGTTTGACAATATGTTATACAAGTCAAACTTGAAATCTATTCTGAGAGAAAAGCATCAAATCCTTTGTGTACACATTTAGTTTTATTGTAACAAAGCAACTTGTACACTTTTAACGTTTAAAACTGAGCATCATCTTTTCTTTCCAGTGAAACAAAAAGAAATTTTAAAAATAAACAGGAACAAAATTACAATAGAGAAATGTCAATTCCGAATAAGATCCTACAGGTTCTGCTGATTCTCCCATCGAGTGGCAGGGCTCAAGTCATCATTAGGAGAGAATTTTAAAAGTGTCATCTTAAACTGCAAGGATGTCCGTTAAACATCACAATTAAACATGCCAAAGGAGAAGCCATGTTGTCAAAATGCCCACTTAACCCACCCAAACATCTCAAACCCACCCTTTGCTGACCTTCTATAACCCCCCCCTTTTTTTAAGTTTTTTTTTTCTTTTTTTAAACAAGAGAAAGTAGACAGATACATGTTGGTAAATGCTAACTGTCCATATTCACATAGAGACACAGTGTAATCTCTGAGCCCAATATACAGAGAAAGGAGGAAAAAAGCTAGAATTCTATGCACTACTACACAGGGGCCTAGCACCCTCCAGCTTCCAGCAGAGCTAAGGGAGCAGAAGGTTTTTCTTTTTTCCCACAGAGCACGGTGGTGTTGATTCCATAAAGTTTCTTGAGACAAGAAGGGATAAAAATGAATTTGGAACAGAAAGGGGCAGAGATTCTTTTCCCACTGTATTCTGCTCAAAGTACATCCCCCCCAAATAAGGTAAGAACCATGGTGTAAAGGAGAGAAAAGAGACCTCAAAAACAGGGTGACTGAGCACAAGGGGGAGGGGGGGGGGAGAAGAGACTGCAATTTGCTCCCAGGGACTGGAGAAAATTAAAAAAGGTTGGAATCCATCAGTGTTCCATTAGTCATCTTCTCCTTCATCTTCCTGTAAGAAAAAAAGTGGGCAGTTAATCTTTAGGGTTAATTCTCAAGTCATAAAGTCATCCCCCAACTTTCATAGGGACCATGATAAACTTCACAGAACATGACACACTATGAGAACATCTAGCTTTATGAACCCATACACCATAACCTATGCATCAACTCTTAGCTGAATGATCCAGTGATGTTATTCCAGATAAATTAATTTTTCAACACTAATCAAGTCGATGGACATCTTTCAGACCAAATAATCCAAACCAATACCCAATTGATTATAAAAAATTTAGTGTGTCTAAAACATGCAAATTTGTTATTTGGGAGATTTCTCAGAATTTGACCAGCTGCACTATCCATACCATTTTTATTAAAGTACTGGTTAGGGAAGAACAGGATTGTGTAGTCATAAAAAACTAACCACAAAAACACAACTAGTTAAATCACTGATACAACGAGCTTGCCAAAATTTCTTTCAATCTTAGACAATAAAATAGCTCATCTTTTCTACAAATCCTCCCATAATTAGTTGAGTCAGTTCCATTTTACAATATATATAATCTCCAAAGTAACCATGGTGGATAAAGATTATCTTTTTGGACTTAATGTTTCTTTTACCTCTCCTTCCTCCCCCTCATCATCATCTTCATCTTCTTCACCTTCATCCTCATCACCTTCTTCATCAATATCTTCCAACCCTTCCTCCTCTTCATCATCATCATCATCTTCCTCTCCTTCCCCTTCTTCATCATCCATGTCAGGAACCTTAAAACACCGATGTTACATTAAGAACTTATTTTCAAACAAATAAGTACAACCTTGAATAACAGAACATTCTCGACTCACCAAGTAGTACTGCAATGGATTTGGCCAAATGTCATCTTTGATGACTTCTCCTAATTCATCTGCACCTGCATCAGAATGGTCAGTAAACCAGGTAAAGAAGCTCTCTGGTTCCTCATGCTGTCTCTTCCTGCTGGCTTTATTCTGTGTTTGACTTGAACGTTTCGTCAAATCCTAAATGAAAATGGAAAACCTTTTGATACAGGCTCTCTAGAAAACCTAAATTCCCTATAATTCAAACAGTAAGATTTATAACCCAAAGGAGAATAGAAAATGGACATCAGTATATTATCAAACTATTATTCTTATCTAGAAATCACAAAATATAGAGAAAAAGTCCTAGAATTCTAGGTCTACAAAGACTGTTGTCAAATTTGTATGACAAGCTTTTCCTGAAAAGATACCATCATCTAAATTTGGCAATTTCATGAAATTAGGTCCACTTTAACAACCAATCAAACAGAGTATAATTTAAAATATATTTACTGGGGTGGTGGGGGAGAGATAAACCACAGAACTTCTATGCATGTATGCATGAACAATGGACATGGACAAAAAAGCTGAGGACGGGGGGGGGGATCAGTGTGGGGGAGAACATCTGTGACAAAAATAAATTAATTAAATAAAAATTAATTAAAAATAAATAAAATATATTTACTAATTAAATGCAGGCATAAACAAATTTTGGGCCTTGGCAAGCTTGGTTACCAATTAATAAATTTAAAAAAACCAAGTCCATTTCTATGAAAACTTGCACTGTAATTTATGAGCTCCAAGCTATTGTACTTGACTAACACTAGAGTATTTTTTTGTTTTTAACCTTCACCTGAAGACATACTGGGAGGGGGGGGCATGGTGAAGAGGAGGAAGAAAGGGAGAGAGGGGGAAGAAGGGTAGGAGGAGAGCGAGGGAGACAATAGAGCAATGGGACAGAGAAAATTTAATTGGTTGCCTTCAGAAAGTGCCCCACCAGATACTGAATCCCGCAACCCAGGTATATAGCCTAACCAAAAACCGAACCAGCAACCTTTCAGTGCATAGGATAATGTACAACCACCTGAGCCACTCCAGCTTGGTTGGAATTGTTTTATATTTTAACGATTTGCATAACACATTACCAAAGCACCCAGTATCTATCAGTAAATGATTCAACTAAACCAAAATATACAAAATATTTTTGCCAAAAGGTTCCTCAAATACCTTTCCAGATTTCCATTTGATTTCAGTGGACTTTGAAGATGGATCACCACTCTCATTCAGATGAAATTCTTTGGAGAGAACTTTATTTTCGAAGTAAGGATTTTCATCAAAATACTATAATAAATAATCAGAGGATTAGAAATCAATACAAACAGCTCTTCCCACCAAAGCTCAAGTTAATTTCCATAGAGGCGAACAAAAGTTACCGATACTCACAAAATCTATTCTGTAACCTGATTTAATATCTTCAAATTCTGTCACTTCAACTCTTGTCAAATAATGCAGCGCCTCTTCATCTTCTTCCCCAAGCAGTGCAGACACTAGACCAGCAAATTATAGGTCAAATGAATATTAGACAAGCACTAAGAAGCAACTCAGGTGCTTCTTAAAGCACTTTATACCCCACACTCTAATAATACTCTGCCATAACATACCTTGTGGATGGTTGACAAATGTTGTTACCCAAAAATTTGGGATTTTGGCGATCAATTCTGACCTCTTCTGAAAAAATGGTTGGCGGAGTTTGTTATATTTCTGTTCTACTTTCAAAATCTCCTCACTGGCTTGTTCATTAAGTCTGAAGCAAATGAAAAAAACAAAACAAAAACATGTTGAAAATGATGGTATTTGACAAATACAAAAATTGCCTGGACTACAGAATATTTACTCTTACTAGCTTTAAAACAGTGCAAAGTACCTATTTATAATAACCAAGTCATCTACATTTTTTTTTCCCTATAATAAATGCAAGTTAAAACTAAGATAGCAATTTGACCCGTGTTAGGCACTCAATAATTGGAAGTTCTTAAACTTAAGTGTCCAAACTGAGCTTTTTGGCAACAGTGCATTTCTACTTCAATTACTCTACTACTAGGCTAACTTCAGTTCTATCTCTCTCAGACAGATCAAGGGGGAAAAAAGACTGCTAATCAAGTCAGAACAACACTGATGCCATAAATGCTAAACTGTCAGAAAAGTTCATGCACTGCAATTCAGACAATTTGTAGCCTTTGAAAGCAAACCCAATCTTTATAAGGTCAAGACTGTCCTTTCATCAAAAGCTTTTTGGTGACTACAAATATTTCACAGAAGAATAACACTGATTCTTCATATTTTCACTAAGCTATAACCATCTCTACTTAGACAGTGGATACGAATTTGACCATAGTCTCAAAGAGCACTAGACCATAAGATGTATTTCAGAAAACTTCTCAAAAGTAAATTAAGAAAAACTTTACCTGTCTATTTCATTTTGTACTTCATCAATATGTTCAATTGCTTCTTGCTGTTCTTTTTCTGCAAGAAAAGGGTGCATACACCTTAACGCTGATTAGAAGATAAATTTATCTAGATTTTCTGGTGTTAACACTGTCTCTGATGAGTTATATATCAATAAAGCTGTTTGAAGGGGGGGGAGAAACTGCCTATAAGGCATGCGTTCATGCTCAAAGTTGACAAATTCAAAGGCTATCCACAAATCATGCTGTTAGGCTATTCAAAATGATTGTAGCACTTTTTAAGAGTTACACTACAAAAAGACCAATAGTTAAAGTTGCTATTATGAAAGATAAGGAATAAACCTTACTCAGGAATTCTTAAGTGCTTATTGTTTATCACATTATATACCTGCAATACATTAGTACCAGCTGTTAACTAGAATACATAAAGTAACCCATGGCATTAACAGAAACCAGGACACCACCTATCCCAAAGGTAGAACCACTCTCTATAGAAAGCTGAAAATATCGCACAGTGCCTACAATTAAAACACCCGGGAAGGGTCGCAGAACTGCCCCCACCACCGTAAACACTCAGCTTTACCTTCTTAGAATATGAACCCCAAGATTTGTATCTGACCTTTCTCATCCCTCCAACACAATTTCAAGTGGACTGATCTCAGACACAGCCCAAATGGATCCTGGAGCACACTTACAGGGAGCCCAGCGAGAAGTCAGAAAACTACGAGCCACGGAAGGAAGAGGAAAAGGAGGTGTGCTATGGAAAAGGTGCCCTTTTGTCCGGTAAAGACTGCAAAACCTACAAGCCAAGTGGGCGTGAAGGGGCCCGATCGTGCGGTTCATTTCCGGTAACCATCCCGGGTTTTGCAGCCCCCCTGCCGAGAAACCCTTTACGGAAAGGGAACATTTCCTAAGAGCCATTGTAGAGACCCTCCGACACCCTGCCTGCTGCGCCAGCTTTCTCAGCGCGCGGCCGCGACAGGGTGGCCGCCCCACGTGGGGAGTGCCCGGGGCGACAGGAACATCCTCCGGGGCGGCCCGGGCCCAGCGTGCGGCCGGCCGCGTGTTTCCCCGCGCCCCCACCCCGACCCAGCTCGAGGCGTGGGGCCGCGCCAGGGCCGGCCTCCGGGTGGGAAAACGGGGGCGCCGCCCGCGGGCCGGGCGCAAAGGGGGAGCCGCGCGGAGGCCCGGGAGCGGGGCCGCGTCCGGCCGCACCATGTGGCGGCGGCGGCGGCTGATGGGAGCGAGGCATCATGGCGGAGCACAATAAAGAGAGGCTTCTCGGGAGGGAGGGAGGGGGAGGAGAGCGAGGGAGGGGGGAGAGGAAGGGGGGGTCTCCTCCGCCCGCGCCGAACAGGCCGCAGCGCCCCCGCCTCGCAGCGCCGTCCGCCGCCGCGGCGCCACCCCTGCCCCGGCCCCGCGCGCACAAAAAAGGGCGCCGAGGCGCGCGCCAGCCCGTCCGCCCAGCGCCCCCCGCGCGCCCCGGGCTCCACCGGCGGCCTGCGGGCCGGGCGGGCGGCGAAGATGGCGGCGCGGGCCGGCCCCTGCCTCGCCTGCTCCTCACCTGAGGTCTCGTCGGCCCCGTCGTGGTTGGAGTTGAGCTCCTTTTTACTGACTTTGGCCGCCGGCGCCGACATGGTGCTGCTCCGCGGTCGGGGGGGGAGCGGGGAGGGGGAGAGAAGGGAAGGCGAAGGGGGCGGGCAGCGGCTTCCCCTCACGCCACACGCGCGCGGGCGCTCGCTCGGTCCGGCCGCCTCCTCCCGGCGCCCGCTCGCTCTCCCTCCCCCTGGCTCGCGCGCGCTGCCCTCGCGGCCTGACGACGAGGGAGGGGCTGGGGCAGCGTGCCGGGCCCCGTCCCGGGCTCCTGCTTACGGAGGGGAGGCGGCGGCGGGCGGGCAAGCGGCTGGGCTCCTTCACTCACGCTCCGCGATCCAGCTCGCTGCTCGTTCTCCCCGAGCCGCCTCCTCCTCCACCTCCTCCTCTCCGCGAGGGGCAGGCGGCAGGGCGCAGGCGCGCCAGGCCGCGCGCATGCCCCGCCCCCGGCCGGAGAAGCTCGCGCCGCCTGGCCATTGGCTGGGGCGCCGGGACGAGGGGGAGGAGCCTCGGCGAGGAGACACAGGCCTGACGACGAGGCGGGAGGAAGGAACGCGGCGACGTACGGGGCCGGGCCCCGGCGCCGTGCTCCCCTCCCCCGCTTTCCCCTTCTCCAGCCCGACCCGGGACATTTGCGCGCTACAGCGTGCAGCGGCCAGGGAGGCGGGGCCTCGCCGCGCGGCGCGCAGGCCTGGGGGCAAGCGCATCACGTGGTGGTGGAGCGGCTTCCCTTCTTCGTGGGGGGAGAGGGGAGTTCGCAGCCCCCCCAAAAGTGCAGGCCTCGTAGTAGCATCCGGACCCAGAAATACATCCCTCAGGTTCTGTGCCCTAGGACACTGTTGGAGCATCCCTCTTCGTGGGGGAAGGAAGGTGGCACCTCCATCCTATTTTCCAGATGGGGAAGCTTCTTTTCTGACTCACTTGGGCTTGTTTGCAAAGCCCTAAAACTGTTCAGTACACTCACAGGGCTTTTTTCAAGGGTTTTAGTCCAAGTTCTGGTCAGCAGACTGTGTGCCCTTGGGCAAGTCACTTTTCCCCTCTCTACCTATTTATGTTAGAAAATGATAAAACGCAAAAAAAGGCTGACAAATGGCAACTGTTTGGTCAGTGGTAACATTTAGGCAGGGGCAGACTGAAGTGAAAGTACTCTGAAGGCAGGGAGGCAGGCCCCTTTGGCCCAAATCAGTGCCTAATGCTTTAGAGAAACCCTGCATAATCTAAGTGCCAGTCCGTGAGGCCACACAACTGTCCAATGGGATAAAAAGGTGTTCCATTCATTTCGCCCTGTCAGATGGTAGGACCAACAAGGCCTGTTTTATAAACCAGATCTTGAACCATGAAGTAGGGCCGAGGCATTTCTGTTTAAGCAAGGTAATGCTTTCCAAGTAATGCAAATACACGTCACTCTACTCCTTCCTCCAGGGCTCGAAGACATGGACCTTAAAAAGCTTCCCTGGGTTGCCCTGGCCGGTTTGGCTCAGCGATTAGAGCATCGGCCCACGCATTGACCCACGGACCAGAGGCCCAGGTCTGTTTCCCTCTTAGGGCAGGTACTTTGGTTGCAGTTTGTCCCTGGTGCTGGTGGGGATCCTGTGGGTGGCAACTCTCTCTCTCTCTCTCCCTCCCCCTTCTCTCCCTCAAGATAAATGCAAAAAATGTCCTCAGGTGAGGATAAAAAAAAAAAAAAGTTTCCCAGGGCATTTGTAACCATGGATCAATTGCCTTCCAACAAGCATATTTTACAGTGTCTTTTTTTTTAATACTCACTCGAGGACATTTTTTGCATTTATCTTCAGATAGAGCAGGAGGGAGAGAGGGGGGGAAGAGAGAGAGAGAAACATCAGTGTGAGAGACACATCAACTGGTTGCCACCCACACAACCCCAACCCAGGCAGGGACAAACTGCAACCAAGGTACATGCCCTTAGTGAGAACTGAACCCAGGACTCTCCGGTCTGCAGGCAGACGCTCTAACCGCTGAGCCAATCCGGCCAGGGCTACAGTGTCTTTATTGTTCAAGGCAGTCTATGGAAGTGATCAATAATTGTTAAATAATTAGCATATTGTCCATGGGTACAGAATACAAATACTTTCTTGGGACTTTCCCCAAAACCCAGAAATCTATCTAATCCTTCCCCTCCAAACCTGATTCTCAACTGAGTACAACTCAATCCATACCTATCCCAATTGCACAGGCTTAAAGGAAAAATTATTAGTAAATGTTTGACAACCAGATCCCAGAAAAAGAAAAAAAAAACACACACACCAAAAACCTTGATTTGTAGCATTTGCTGATTTCCATGGTGTATAAATACTCTCATCACAGCCAATTTCCTGCTACCACTGTGATGTTACTGAACAGAGTTGGATAGAAATACCAGGCACACTGCTGAAGCATGTACCATGGACCACAGACTGTGATAAACACATGCATCTTCTCATTTAATCCTCATGAAACACAAAGTAGGCATCAATATCCTCATTTCACAGATAAACTGCTAGTGGACAGCAAAGCCCGCCTTATATGGTAGAGGTACATTTGACATCAAGGACCCAGTACACAAATACACACAAAACAATGCTTTACCCTTACTAAGTGTGATATGACTCTTAATATTCTATTTTCTTATCTTTAAAGGCAGGGTGCAGCCCGACCAGTGTGTCTCAGTGGTTGAGAATCAACCCATGCACCAAAAAGGTCGCCTGTTCAATTTCTGGTCAGGGCACATGCCCAGGTTGTGGGCCTAATCCCCAGTGGGGGGGGGGGGGCGTGCAGGAGGTGGCCAATCGAGGTTCTCTCATTGATGTTTCTATCTCTCCCCCTTCCTCTCTCTCTAAAATCAATAAAGAAAAGTATTTAAATGCAGGGTGCAGCCCTGGCCAGTGTAGCCCAGCTGATTGGGTGTCATCCCATGTACCAAAATGTTGCTGGTTCAATTCCAGATCAGGGCACATGCCCAGGTTGCAGACTGGATCCCTGGTAGGAGGCGTGCAGGAGGCAGGCGATAGAAGTTCTGCTCTCATGTCAATGTTTCTTTCTCTCTCCCTCTCCCTCCCCCCCTCTCTAAACATTAATAAATATTTTAGCCCTTGCTGGTTTGGCTCAGCGGATAAAGCGTTGGCCCTTGGACCAATGAGTCCCGGGTTTGATTCCAGTCAAGGGCATGTACCTCGGTTATGGTTTGTCCCCAGCCCTGGTTGGGTCATAGGGCGACAACCAGTCAGATGTGATCTATCACATTGATGTTTCTCTGTCTCTCTCTCTCTCTCCTTTCCTCCCACTCTATCTGATAAGTAGAAAAAATATCCTCGGGTGAGGAATAAAAAAAATATATATATTTTAAATGAATAAATGCAGAGTGCACTCCACTAAAATGATTTCATGATCCACAAATGGGATGAAACATTCTGAAAAATACTGTACTGAGGGCTGCTGCTACACAAACCATGCTCACAGGTGGGTACCAGTGACCCACAGCATCCTCTAAGTGCCCGATCTACCTGGGTTTCCCACACATCTGCAGAGGCTCCAGAGAGCCCTTCCATGATCCCCGCCCTTAGGACCATCCTGCTCCTTTTCCTGACCTTTCTCACAGCACTCAAGATGCATGTAAGACTGAAACCTGTATAATTCTGTTAACCGGTGTCACCCAAAATTCTACAAAGAGGGAAAAAAATAAAAAGATGAATGCAAGGAGCACATGCTAGGAAGTGGAAGAGAAAGAGAAAGCAAAAGGGCAAGAGCTTCAATAAACAAGGGAGTGGCATGGACACACCAAGAAGTAATCCATTCACTGTGCCATTATTCATTGTGGTCTTTCTAGCTCCAACATTCTCTCCTTGGCCTCTTACTTCACGCAGAATTCCTCCCCTTCCTCCCCTTCCTTCCCCTTCCCAGCTTCCTTGAAGGAGAAGAACCGCAGCTTAATATTGGAATGGAGGGCCTTGGCCAGTTTGGCTCAGTGGTTGAAGTGTCGGCTCGCAGACCAAAGAGTCGTGGGTTCAATTCCGGTCAAGGGCACTTACCTCAGTTGCTGTTAGGTCCCCAGCCCTGGTCAGGGTCATGCGGGAGGCAACCGGTCAATGTGTTTCTCTCACGCTGATGTTTCTCTCTCTCTCTCTCTCCCCTTCCTCCTTCTGCTCTATCTGAAGATAAGTGGAAAAAAATACCCTCAAGTGAGGATTTAAAAAATATTGCAACAGATGCTGGTGTTCCCCACAATGCAGCAGCATCCCAGAATGACCAGGAGACTGTAGCTGGGATGGCCTTCAACACACATAAAAACCATCTCTGAGCCTCCTTTTTCCGATCTTAAAATGGGGTTATTATCTACAGCATGCTGCTCTTGTGAGGGCCGATGGACCGAGAAGTGCTTAGGCCAGTGCCTGGCAGATCAGTGCCAAGTGAGTGGCACGAGCTGTTATCTGGTTTGGATGAACCACCTCAGGACTGTGGAACACCTCCTGGTCCAGTTCCTTCTCCCAGGAAGCCAAATGGAAGGAGCCAGGAAGGCTCATCTACATTTAGCTGCTCACAAGTGGGAAGGAATTTACCTCTTTTCTTAAAAAATTTTTTCTTTATTGATTTTAGATGGAGAGCGAGACAGAAATATCAGTGAGAGAGAACATCGATTGGCTGCCTCCTGTACGTGCCCCACTGGGGATCAGGCCCACAACCTGGGCATGTGCCCTGACTGGGAATCGAACCGATGACCTCTTGGTGCATGGATGTCTGCTCAACCACTGAGCCACAATGGCTAAGTGAATTTACCCATTTTATTATTTTTATTTATTTTTTAAATCTTCACCCGAATATATTTTTAGAGTTATCTTCAGACAGAGTGTGTGGGGGAGGGGAGGAGAGAGAAAGAAAATCAATGTGAGAGAAATACATTGACTGGTTGCCACCTACATGACTCCAACCGGGGCTGGGGACAAACCACAACCGAGGTACGTGCCCTTGTCTGGAATCCAACCCGGGACTCTTTGGTCTGTGGGCCGACACTCTAAATGCTGAGCCAAACTAGCCACGGTGGAATCTACCCATTTTAAAATCCCAGATTATGTGCCAATCACAATCTTAAGTGTTTTCTATTTAAACCTCATGGCAAGCCTAAGAGATAGGTACTGTTGAGCCCATTTTACAGAAGAGGGAAGAAACACAGGTTAGGGCACTTGCCCAACAAGCTCACACAGCCAGACAAAGCTGGGTGTCAAACCCTGGCCTTCAGCGGGGTAAGAGGCCTTTGCACCCAATTGGACAAGGCCCAGGGAAGTCAAACTTGCCATGTCACCCAGCACATCCCTATGAGCACTTTGGTGAGGAACGACTCTTTTTCCTTCCACGTTAGTCACGTCTGA